TGCTCAAGACAATAGTGATGCCTTTCTAGTAATCAAGGCATAAGAAATTGCTGTGCGTCAAATGTGAAAATTGCTGCATTTGATTGTGGAAAGCAGCAAGGGTGCACTAGCTTAGCAAGGTCTTTTACATAGTTTCATCAGGTTCTAAAGTGGATAGGATGTCATATAATCACCATCAGGATTTCTTCTTGAGTAGAACTTTCACTTTATGTGAATTTTCCTTTTAGTTTAAGATATAAGTTTTTAAGTTGCTTTATTATGACTTACAAAGTATGAGGAGGCAACATCACTTTCTGCCAAAGAACAAATTTTGTGTCAATTTGTCATATAAGAATTCTACAGATGATCTTCTATAACTGTAACCAAAGAAAACTGAAACAAGAAAATAATCAAAATGTCACCATTTCCCACGGTCCATGCCATCATGTTGATGAAACCTTCTATAACCACAGGCTAGTATAGTAAAATCAAATGATCTTACTTTTCCTCAAAGAAAAATGGATCTAAAAAATGAAATAAATGGCCAATTTACCTTTTCTCAAACTGCAAGATGCATAAGGTTGATATGCTAGCTTATAATTTGCTTATGTTTCACTCAAAAGCTGCTATGAAAATGAACCAAACAGAAATCCTATTCTTTATAGTAACATCAGGAATCTAATGTGCGAAATTCCAATTTCAGAATGCAAATTCAACAATGAGATGCATGATTCATAACCTCTAATATAATCCAGCAGTGTTCCTTGAGACATGTACTCATAGACAAGAGCCAGATGATCTCCATCCATGCAGTAGCCAACCAAAGAAACTAGACTTTTGTGATGAATCCTTATCAGGTGCTGCACCTGCAAACAAAACCAGAATTGTCAAATGCAGATCTTAAAAGAAGCTGACCCTCAATAATGGAAAAGCAATATGCTCAATGTTGAAAACCTGCCTTGCATTAATGGGCTCTAGAAAATCACACAATATGACGAATAAATTATCAAGAAAGTACCAAGATTCACTGCCTGCTACAAAACAAAGCATCACCTGTATTGAAGAGTATATTTCCATCGGAGAAGTGCACTAGTTAACTAACATTCTAGTGCATATTTGAGTTTGCAGACCATACTCCAGTTACAAATTAAACTAACTAATCCCTTCAAAAACATATTACGGTTAACTGAAAGACATCTTGTAAATTTAAGATCTATAATCTGTTAGGGTTGAAATAGTTACCTCAGCTAGAAACTCTTTGGTTCCCTGCGAAGATGATTGAGAGCGTGTCTTGACTGCGACTTGAGTACCATCTTCCAAATATCCATGGTACACAGTGCCAAATCCACCCTTGCCAAGAGTTCTTTCAAAGTTGTTGGTTATTCTCAACACCTCCGTGTACGTAAACTGTCGATTATCAAGTTGCAAAGGATTATCTTGATGACCCTTTACTAAGTTGGACAATCTTTCCTTCTCTGGCTGTACCAAGATATTTGCTGACCCTTTCAAATAAAACATGATAATTATAAATTGTAGGTCGTATGGGAGTGATTAAGTAGCTAATGCTTGCAAATATCTGAGTTGGTATGCATCAAAGACATGAATGGACAGTTATAATTTGCTGCAGCAAGCACTTACCTTTTGATTTTCTCATTCGACAGAAGATAAATATAGCCACAAGAAATAGCACCACAGGAACTAGACAAATAATCACGATAATAGGTGTTGCAATCTTCTTCTTTTTTGATTCTGTGTCCGTCTTTATCTCACATGAATTTCCACTGGCGCATAAATTTTGATTGCCTTCAGTTCTACAGTAGAATTATTAACTTGATATTAGTATTGGTTAGCAATCAGTCTATGTTTCTTCTTCAAAAAAGTTAAAGTTTAAATGAAATAAACTGTTGCATTATTACTAGAGATTGCAGTTTTAGACCGAAGGACATGTTTTACGTGCAGTGGCATTGGAAAAAGAGAACAAGGTGAAACCCAAAGCAAAAAGAACAAAAAATCAGTTATTACCATCACCACCCTTAAACTCTATATTAAACCTCATATTTTGCTCCAAAAAAAAAGAACTCTATGACAGATGCCTCTATAACTTCATAAGTAGGATAACAAAAGAAACAGACCTAAGTATCAGCAACCCTTGCTGTGATCTTTTTAGTAGAGAAGCAGGAATTGGCCCAGAAAGATTGTTGCCTGCCAAATTCCTGTAGAAGGAAACCAAAAGTTAGCGGGTCAATTTTCCTTTTCATTGCAAATCTGATGATAAAGAGTAGCAATTCTTACAGGACTTGAAGCGATGGCAAATTTCCCAGAACATCTGGCAAGGATCCTGTTAGGTTGTTATATGACAAGTCACTGACATGGAAAGTCACATACATTAGTCATTACTGATTTGGAAAGTCACATACGTATGTGATCACTGATTTCCCCCTCAAATAGAGACCAAGAGAAAATAATGCATCGCATAGTATCAATGATCCATTACACTAGACAAATTAATATGGCACATGATTTAGACTAGCCAACTTAATACAAGTCATGACAAATGGACAGTCATGCAACAACTAATTTTTTCCTCTAAAGTAAAAGTTGATTATAGTAAAGATTCACATAAGTGTCAAATTTATAGCATTCCTATGTAGTATCTTTGGTCAAATATGTCATTTACACAGATTATTCTGGAATCACCTCTTTAATCAAACACTTCAATGAGATTTTAGCCAAATTAAAATGTAAATTAACTTCTTAACATAGAATTTCTAAGTGGTTCAAAAATTCCTAGTCCAATTTTCTTATGCCAGAACCAAATGAGAGACCAGATCAAGAATAAACAAAGCTACCAGCACTTACAGGTACTTGATTGCTGTGAGCTTGGCAAAAGAAGAGGAAATAGGGCCAGTCAATGCACTTGCCGACAGGTTTCTGCAAAACATTTTGGTCTTTTAGACAGTGCTTAAGAATTTTCTTAAAAACCTGATTTTCACATCATTGTAATTCTCTTCATCTTTATGCTGGATACTCACACATCTGTGATCCTTGGTGAATTGAGATCATAGCTGCACTTCAAGCCATCCCAAGCATATTCTTTTGGGGAACATGGATCACCCATCCAGTTTCTCTTCAGTTGATATTGTACCCTGATATTGATAATGGCATCAACTGATTCCAAAATTATTAGAAACCAAGCCAAAATCACTAAGCGTAGTGACATATCATTTGTTCAATAAAATAATTACTAAAGTGTAATTCGAATAGCAGATTTAGTGCAAGGCAAAAGATACAAAATAATAAAAACAGGGATCAAAAGAAAACATAAAATAAACTTTCACGTGATTATGAACATCAAGGCATCAAATATCTCAAAGCATGCATATCTCATAATGTTTTCGGTATGTAACAATTTTATTTCTTCAGGATGTACTTTTAAGTAGACTCTGTTTTTCATATTATAATCATAGCCTCTAAACAAACATATTATTCTATGTATTCTGCAATGCATCCATTTCAAACACAGGATTCTGTAAAAGATAC